TCCCATAGAAAATGATATATATCTCATCGAAACATCGGGACACCTTCGCCTCTATCAGCCACGCTGTAGCAAGAGAGCGATGACGTGCTCGAACGGGCATTCCTGGTGGGAACCAGTGGGATCCAGGTTGCTGTTTTTGCGATGAACCGCTTGCGGAGGTGGCGTTGAACGGCCTGCGGTGGTGGATGTGATCGGCCAGGGCGCTCCTAAAGACATGCCAACATAAAAAAAGTTATCTTAGTGTTACAAGAATAATACAACTGAAGATGCATTCCGGTTATACGAGCAAATGAAAAGAAATTCAGCCATGCAAGCCTAATGAGTTATTGTTGTTTGTATGGCCCAAAAAGAAATGAATAATCACATGTAATTTCCAGAAAGGAAAGAACATTTTGAACTCTTTCGCAAGTATATGTGATGAACATATACAACGTATCCATTGAACGGATATTTTTTTCTCAATGAACTTTTGTGATATAGGAACTAGAATTTGTACCAATAGTTTATATTTACCATGTCAAAAGCAAACAACATGCATATATATATTGATCTGCTAGTCAACACATCAACAAGTACGACACAAACATACAACAACAACCAGTCATGGTGCCTTGACCCGGCCAATTGTTTTCTTTTTTTGTTGCAGGGAAATATCAAGAACTTCTAGGCCTAGAGAAGTAGACGGGATGACTTATTTCACGATGTAACTTCAGCATGAACAAGAACGTGCATGAATTCCAAACAGCAAATACACACCCCATGACTCCTTGAGGATTGTATTTCTCTTACTCTAGAGAGTACACATACATATTGATACATACACACACACACACACACACACACACATATATATATATAAATCAAGGCATCGAGATTGTGTACCACCTCAGTAGGTATAATTGAACTATTCAGGGTATCTTTTAAAAAACGTACTACGTGGCAAAAAAATTGTGGTGTAGTTTTTGAACTCCTATGGCAATAATACATGAACTCCCCGAGGACATGAATTCTTGGATTAGGACCTAAAGTACAAATTACACATGAAAAATACTCCAAGCATTGTAGTTTGTAGCAATTTTCAAGCACAAGGTAGCTACAAATAAACAATGAACACAGCAAAGCTAATAGCCCAGTGCACTGAAGACATTGTAGCAAATACATGGTGTGCCCCAAAAAATGTGATTTTTGAGATTTTTAATGAATTGCTGTTGTTTCTTTCATTGAACTAGAACTGAAGAATTTTGATGTCTTTACCGAGTGTTAAGAAATGAAACGAGAGACAAGGTTGTTTGGCAGCGCATGTGCAGTACGGTGACCTCACCAGAGAAGTATAACCTATCGGATCCAACAATTTCTATCGGGGGCATGAGCTTGTGGGCGAGCACGGCAGGAGGGAGTGGTAGTGCAGGTGTGGTGGAGTGGGAAGATCAAGTTCTAGGCACGAAATGAACCTCCTAGCATTTATTCTATAAACTTCTCTCAAGGTACACATGTTTTCCTAAATTTGCAAGTTGATTTTCTTCTTTCTTTTTATCAGATAACTTGCATATATAGATCTTCTTTACAAAATTATATAAATCATGGTTGCATTATCATGCTGAGATGAGTTCTGAACTTTCCTGGGTTTCATCTTTTCAAATTGTTAGTTTTTTGACACCTGAACTTCGACTTGTTCTCCCCAATGAACTCCCCTTGAATGTTTTGTTTTTTCGAACTTCCCAAGTTTACATTTTCAAACTGATTGAATTGTAGTATATGAACTCGCCAACACGATGAATTTTTTACTGAACACTAAGGTGCAGAATATACACACAAGGTACATGAACAATTCACTTAGTTTGAAGTACTTGCACAATTCACTTAGTCTTGTTGAAGGAGAAGGTGCAGCAGCAGCAACAAGTTGTGGAAGAAGAACTTGTCGCCCGTGGAGATGTTGGCCTGCACACAGCTACTTGAGCGACCGACCTTGGAGCAAGCAGTTTGACTGTTGAGTTGTACGGCACGCTGTGGCCACGGGATGCGGTGACACGATGCGATGGCCTGCTGCGGGGGGTGGTGGAAGGTCGCCAAGGCGGCGATAGGGATGGCTGGTCGCGACGATTGGGGGCGCTAGGGTGGCTCCCGATGGCGGTGGCCAGAAGCAGGGGGGCGGTGTCCGCGCGTGGAAGTAGAGGGGTCGACGGTGGCGCCTGGAAGCAGGGGAGGCGGCGCCGGGAGCGAAGGAGGAGGTGGAAGTGGGGCGGCGCCGGT